CTTGATTCTCCAAAGAGGAAGCTTGCTAGGGAACCTTTGCTCATAAACTCATACACAAGAATTCGGTGCTGCCCCTCGTTGCAGAATCCTAGTAGTTGGACTAAATTTCTGTGATTTGTTCTGCCAATTGCACTCATTTCAGCTTTGAATTCCAACTCATTTTCTCCAACAATAGTGTCCAATCTTTTGACAGCAACAAATTTCCTGTTCTCAAATGCTAAAATTCCTTTGAAAACTGTTGCAAAAGCACCACGGCCTAGTACTTCCTTGAATCCGTTGGTAGCTTCATTTAGCTCCTCGTAAGTGAAACATTTCACATTCATGCATGGCATGACTGAGTAAGGTTGATTCACCCCTGCATTTTTATTATAAATGCGAGACACAATCGAGTAGGTTGTTAATAGTAAAACCAAGTTCAGAAATCCCGAGCTACTGAGGAGCACTGATCCAATGAGGATCATAGTTGAGTTATCTTTCTTTTTTGCATTTGGACCTTCAGGTGTCAAAGGGGGGCTGTTAAAAACTGTTGAAAAAGCACCACGACCTAGTTCTTCCTTGAATGCGTTGGTAGCTTCATTTAGCTCCTCGTAAGTGAAACATTTCACATTCATGCCTGGCATGACTGAATAAGGTTGATTCACCCCTGCATTTTTATTATAAATGCGAGAAACAATCAAGTAGGTTGTTAATAGTAAAACCAAGTTCAGAAACCCCGAGCAACTGAGGAGCACTGATCCAACGAGGATCATAGTTGAGTTATCTTTTTCTTTTGCATTTGGACCTTCAGGTATCAAAGTATCTTTCCTTATTTTGATGAGAGCTTTTCCACCAATACTGGGGCTCATCCTCCCATTCGATAAAGGAATTCTCTTCTTCAAACACTCTCCATTGTTGAAAATAGCAACAGCACAAAAACAATCACCTAAGCAACTTTGTCTGCACCAATCCTCTTGTACTGATGTAAATTGCTCATAATCACCACCGTACCACTTTGTGTTTAGCATCTCCTGAAAATAAAAAAGATTTGTCTCTGATGAGGCCTCGTTGCAACTTTGTGAAACGAAGTTCTGTTTGCATCCTTTCAGCTTATCATTTAGATCAATGAAGGAGTAACCATACGGGCACTGGCAAACTGGTCCTTTATCATTATAACTGCATAAGCTGTTGTACCCACATGCCCCACTGCCTATGTCTCCTTCGACTCTAAAGCAAATATCTGAAGGTTCAGAGGTCAAAGGGGACCAAGCCAGGGGGGTTCCAGCACTTGAGCCATTGCTTTTAGGGTGAACAGAGTGCCTCAAAATTCCATCATACTCCAGAGTAGCTTTCTGGTAGAAATTCTTCATTGAAACTGTGTTGGATGATACCATATTAAGTATGCTTCCGTTCTTGGCAGTAAGGTAAATAGACCCAGACTGGTTGAAGATGACCTGAAAGCCGGTGCCCATAGTCATGGTTGCATAATATGCAAAGTTGGGAGATTCCAGTGGGAATCTTGTTGTGTAAAGCAAGAGATTTCCATCAGATTGTAGTATAAACTGGAATCTTCCTTGTGAGTAGTTTGTTTCTGTATAGCGAGCAAAGAGTTTGCCATTCTGATTTAGAGTCTGTGTGGGTAGGATTGTATCAGTTGGTACATCAAAACTCTCTCACAAATTGGTTGAGTTTGTGTTGGCCAGCCCAAAATTTCCTGTGTCAAGCATGGCGGCATAGGCCACTTCTGTGCCAGCAGAATTAGCACTCCATACCTGTCCGCCTTCCGAGTTTCTAAGCACGAGCATTCCATCACTTGTAAGTTCAACTTTGGATCCTTCTTGCACTAGATCATTCCGATTGGCTGACCACACTATGGTTCTATCTGGTATTTTGTTGAACCAGATGGCTAGCAGGAAACCATCTTTTCCAATCTTTCGGAAACCAAAAGCAAACTCACCAGATGGCGATGGCCAGGACAAGTTATCATTAAGTGCAGTGAGGGATGAACCTAAAGATATGTTTCTGGATGTTTGAGCAAGGGAGGTACATGGAAGCAATATAATAAGGAAGAAGCAGAAAAGACATAGCAATGCAGAAGCCATCATAAGATTACTTAATTACTTCACTGCTATCAAATTTATCAAACTGGACTGAGATCTTAAATAAAAAATACTAGATGAATGTTCTATCGACTTTAAAACATATTATTCAAGTCACAACCACACAATTTCCAGCGATTACTGGGGCAATAATGTCTGTCAGTTTGCGTATGTTTCGGGCACAATTTACAGGACCTGAGTCTAAATGCACCAATGTAAGGTTTGGAATCATGCATTCTGCTACTTTTCAAGTCACAAGTAATGAGCTCGTCTTCACCAATGACTGAGTATAAGTTCCATGGTAGATTTACAGTTGGAGCTTTAAATTTGCCTTTTCGGGTCATGGGTGCAATAACATGGAAGCTGCCTTCTTTGAATCCTTCAAACACATTCCTCTCAGTCCTGCTTTATGTCTAGGACTGAGACGTATTAAGTGTATAGTGAGATGCTTCTTTCCTGTCCTCCCTGGCCTAAAAGAAGCATTCTTTCTCTAACCCCCTCATTGGGTTGCATTTCAACATTCAAAATTGAATGTGGTCCTACAGGGAAAGAATGTTATTTTCATCTGTACTCCATGAATGGCCACAGATCATTCAATCAAACCCATGAATTTTTTATGACCTCTCAGTATGAAGATGTGAAAAGAAAGAGTGATTGGCTCCGAGGGTGCTATATCCAGCTCAAGGGTACAAATTTAATCATGGAAAATCAATTAGAAGTACATTTGAGTCTTTATTTGGTAGAAATTTTGAGACAAACGACAACAAAAGTGTGAATGGCAAACAAGGTGGCAATGACCTGATGAAAAAAAATAGAAAGACTTTTTGGGCTTCCCTTTCGTGCAATGTGGGAGCAACGTTTGCATGGCTACGCTGATTTTCAATATGGCGACTTCGGTTTGGTGGAATTGGAAAGCATTTGAGCTGACTTTTAACTCCATAAAACTTTATTCAATCTTAGACTTTTCAAAGTCATGTACTTTTTATACAATTAGAAATCCAGCCTTTCCTATATTATATACGTTTGCAAGTCTTTTTCAATCTTTATATGCTGGGTAATCACTTGGAAGCTGCCTTCTTTGAATCCTTCTAACACATTCCTCTCAGTCCTGCTTTATGTCTAGGACTGAGACGTATTAAGTGTATAGTGAGATGCTTCTTTCCTGTCCTCCCTGGCCTAAAAGAAGCATTCTTTCTCTAACCCCCTCATTGGGTTGCATTTCAACATTCAAAATTGAATGTGGTCCTACAGGGAAAGAAACATGATCAAATACTGAAAATACCATCTTTTATTTATGTAACAGAAAATAAAATAAGAAAATACCATTTTTTCGCTGTTCATTTTTTCATGCAATGTTGTTAACAAGTGGGGTTGACATGATATCTTTTACTGTCAAACGGAGATTTTGTGAAGCGAGTTTGCAGCACATTGGCCTTTTATTTATGCTCAAAGTTATACATTGACAAGAAAGCAAGTTTTGAGTAGCTTAATGAAACCTTATTCACCAGGATGACAAGGAAAGTGATGAAATGAAATAAGTAGAACACAGACAAACGAAACGAAATGATACAACAACAATTATATATATTTATAGTATTTTACTTATGAAAGAGGAGGTGGAGCTGAGACTTCAACAGTTCCTTCAAGCATCAGTGTGACTTTCTTCATGGTGGGTCTGAGTGATGGATCCTCCTGAATGCACCATATTGCAATCATCACATACTTCTCCATCTCGTTGATGTCATTGATTTCCTCATCATTCTCGAAGAGCTGGTGCAGCTTCTTTTGCATATAGCAATCATATGCCCAATCAGCTAGTATCATTTCATCTTC